TTGCGAATGCCTCCAGAAAGGAAGGCTAAGCAACTGTTCCTTACAAATCCGACCGGCAAAAGGCCCAGGTTACGGCCAAGATTAACCTGGTGCAAACATAAGGAAGGAATCTGTTCCAGACTGCATTTGTATTTTGCCGAAGCTCAGACTCTGGCACAGAATCGGGAACGTTGGAAGAACTTTCCGACGCGCTGCTCCGCCACCCGAAAGGAGAAGCGGCGATGGAAGATAGAAGATTAACGAACAACACTGTCAGTGATCAGACGTCAGAAACTGGATCCACTTGGATCTTCTGATCATAGGATAAGCGCAACGACGCCCCAGCTAATCGCCGAACACTGTTATTGGCACTGGTGGTTCCTAAATGGAAGTTTTATGGAATGGATAAAACACATAATCCAAGAAAACGTCAATCAAGCTACCGTCAGCTTTTCTTACTTTCCCTGTGTGTCTTATATACAGTCGTTGTAGCTGGGCTTGAAAGCAACCGTACATGTTTTGGTCAACTATGTAACTCAAACTTGAACTATTGTTTATATCTGTGTAAACGTTTCAACAGCTTATAATTGAACCAGTCGAATCCTATTTTTAATATTCTATCCATGCAGTTGGTATTACTCCGTTTTCCTCCTTGCCCAATTCCACCCTCTTCACTCTGCCTCTCTTTACTGTTCCAATGATGCTTGAACATCACGGTTCTTAGAACAGTCAATAGTGTTAAAACACCTTGTTCGTGAAGTAGCGTTGGGAAGAATAGCTTTATTAACTTATGAAATAACTTTATCGAAATTCCATAATTTGGGCATCTTATCAAATCGCATTTACCATGCAACCAATAGATAAGTAATTTGATGTAGTAATAGCCGTAGTTTCGATGTGGTTTCAAACACTGAACGGTTCTACATAAATCCGTTGACAGCGTAGAGTAATTCATTTCCGGGAATCTTTTCAACATCCGGTTTCGCTTTTGCGTACTCATGAACGTTGTGTTCTCACTTGTTCCTCTGACAATGTTTCTGTAACATGACACCAGTTTTGGCAAACAAATGATCCCTAATGGTATTTCTAATGACCCATATACCGAAACAGCAAATCTGCCACTCTTTGCCTTTCTGCCATATGCA